CATCCTCAGCTCCTTCCCACAGTCCAGCGTTGTTGGCTCGCTGGGAGCCCCTGCCGTTGCCGGGGGCTACGGTGGCTCTTTTGGAGGCCGTGGTGGTTTTGGAGGCTTTGGTGGCTCTGGGCTGTCCGGAGGCCTTGGGGGCTATGGAGGCTATGGAGGCTTTGGAGGCCAAGGGGGCTATGGAGGCTTTGGAGGCTATGGTCTTTCTGGGGGCTATGGAGGCTTTGGGAGCTGCGGATTCGGTGGCCTGCGCCGAGGCCACAGGTACCTCAGTGGCAACTGTGGGCCCTGCTAAACACCACACCGTGTCAAGCCACAGACGAACGACATCTCCGGAATAAGCCCAGACACATCCCTACACAGCACCCGAAGGAAAACTGTCACTGTGGCGTTGCTGGGCTCCTCAACTCTCATGCCTCATGCCTGCTTGCCCCACTTGAGCATCGCTTCAAGACCCGTTGACTTCTGATGGCAGAGACCCACACTTGGTGCCTACTCCTGCAGCGCGGCTGATGCTCAGGAGAGCTTTGCCCGGTGTCACAAGACAGGGCAAGGTCCTGGCCAGGACTCTGATCTTCTTCCAAATCTCTTCTCCCCTGGAAGTGAAATAAAAGCTGTCTTGCATCGCAATGTTGACTCATGGTATTTCTTGATCCTTCCTTCTTCTTTGCCACTTCCCCCAAACCTCAAGCAGTCTGGGCTGCTTGACTCTCCCACGGTGGTGCCCTTGGAGCCTTTGGGCAGTTTGCTCAGGGTGTAACAAGTGATGATGATGGTCCCAGCGGGGTCTTGTAAAGCACATCCCCCTGAGCTTCCTCTGCTCTCCCATCATCCACAAACACAACACAGCCCCAAAGTCCACTTCAAATATGTGAAAGGGCCACAGGTGTCTTGCAGCACCTCTTCCAAATCCTCTGCTAAGCCATTGTGCCTGGCACCATCTCCTTTTCTTGGCTTGTTAGAGGTAACCTCTGGAGGTCCTGGGAAATGGAGGGACACACACTGCATGTACAGGACACCTGGCCATGTCCCAGTGCCTAGCTAGATTGGTGGCCACCGGGAAGGTGCTGAGGTAGACACAGCCAAGTCTTTCCACGGTTCCTTATCGTGCCGTGGAATGGCCATTGGTATCCAGCCACATGAAAAAGCTCTTTGAGGAGGAGGTTGGACTATCTGCCCTCCTGAGGTCCCTCTTGAGGTCCCTCCCCAGGTAGCCTCTGAACCTGTGATCCCAGCACTGCAAGGAGGTCTTGGGAGAGACAATAGTGGCAAGAGGCATCAGAAGGGCAGTGTGGCCGCACATTGGTCACTGCTGGGGAGCTCAAGAAAGGTGTCTCATCTGCAATTGTGAACACAGAGGGTGCAGAAAAAGGCAGCAAAATGGCAAGAGCAAGGCATTCTGTTTTTGTGCACCCCATGAAGCCTGTACATCTTCTCTTCTCCTTCTGGGTATTTCCATCTCTGCCCATCCCCATGCATGCCAGGTTTCCTTGTGCTGACTCTCAGCCACCCACCAGGTCCTGCCTCACGTGCTGTCCCTTGTGTCTCTGCTGAGGGCTCTCTACAAGAAGAGAGTTGGGGTGACCCCATCCCGCCTGCTGTGGGTTGGTTCTTTGGGGGCGTGTGACAGTGCGGGCTACTTTGCAGGCTGATGTGTGAGGAAGGACAGTAAAGGTCCATAAAGTCTGGTCCAGAGCCCCTGGGCTGTGGGAAGCTCTCCTGTCGTGCCCGAGCAGAGCTGAGTCTCCAGGCACCCACTGTGCGTGACACAGGGAATCCTGGGAAGATCTTCTGTTGAAGTAGTGGGGGAAGACAGGGCCAAAAGTGCTCCAAGGAGCAGTGGGAGAGGGAGGACAAACAGCACGAGGACGAAGAGGGATGCAGGAATGTGTGCAAGGCAATTGGGGAAGTGCTGGGTGTTGCTCACCCTCTGACCTATCGACCTGTAGCCTCCCACATGGCCCTGAGCTGGGCCTTTGCCCCTGGGGTGGCTCCTTTGGTGTCCCAATCCCCACAGCCCTCGGAATTCAGGCAGCCCCTGGGGAATGGCCAGAGTAGGCAGAAAACTCCCTGCGGGGCCCAACAGCTCTTCTTGGACGTCAGAGCACAGGATGCCAAAGCGGGGAGAAGATGGGGAGGGCAAAGGGGGAGAAGCTCTTAGAGAAGATGAACATGGCCCCACTGAAGGAGGCAGGCTGGTGTAAGAACATGCTGCCAAGGGCAGGCAGGAGGAAACAAGATGCCTCCCAAAGGTGCCCTGGGTGGCATCTGACAAGGACGGCCTACGGAGCTAAGGATGTCACTCGGGGTGTTGAGTATGGAGGAAGCATGAAGGAGAAATCAGAGGTCAACATTGCAATGCAAAACAGCTTTTATTGCAGTTCAAGGGGAGGAGGGAGTTGGATGAAGAGCTGGGCCCTGCGAGAATCCAATGTGAAGCAGGAGCAGGCACTCTGTGAGGGCCTCTGTCGTCAGGGGTCAGGGAGCTTTGAAGGGACGATCAGCAGGGCAGGAGGAAGGCACAGATGGGGCCGGATTAGGCATCAGGCATCAGGGATCTGCCTCCCAACGGTGTCAAAGGCATGTCCTTCTGCTGAGTGCCATGTGGGGATGTGCCAGGGTATTTTCCAGAGCTCTCCTTCATCTGTGGCTTGACACGGTGTGGTGTTTAGCAGGGCCCATAGTTGCTACTGAGGTACCTGTGGCCTCGGCGCAGGCCACCGAATCCGCAGCTCCCAAAGCCTCCATAGCCCCCAGAAAGACCATAGCCTCCAAAGCCTCCATAGCCCCCTTGGCCTCCAAAGCCTCCATAGCCTCCATAGCCCCCAAGGCCTCCGGACAGCCCAGAGCCACCAAAGCCTCCAAAACCACCACGGCCTCCAAAAGAGCCACCGTAGCCCCCGGCAACGGCAGGGGCTCCCAGCGAGCCAACAACGCTGGACTGTGGGAAGGAGCTGAGGATGGGTCCAGGGTGGGTGACCACCGTGGCCGGGGGCTGGATCACCACCGTGGAGTCGGGGCACTGGCGCACACAGGGCTCATTGCAAGAGTCAGCCACGGGGGCCGGGACGGCCACCCCACAGGAAGGGATGCACAGGCTGGCACAGGACATCTTTCAGGCAGGCAAGGAGTCCTGGAAAAGACACCAGGGATTAGGAAAAGGCCCGGGGAAGGGGCTGTATTGGGGAGGCAGGGAGAGATTCCCAAGGGGCTTGCAGGAGCTGGACTTACCCAGTTGATCAGGAGAGTCAAGTGGAGGAAGGTGGATAGAGGGCTGTGAAACCCTCAGCTCTTTTATACTTGTCCCAGACTGCCTGGGGCATTGGCAAAGGTGTGGTGGTGGAAGCCCCATGTCCTCATGAAATCCAGCAAACTAGTGTCATGATACAGGTTGTGATGCAAGACAATTTTTTGCCTTCTCAGGGACACATCATTACAAGAAATTGTTCTTGTAGCTGACCTGGCATCACCAATAAACACCGATCTGTCCCTAATCCCCCCACCCTTGTAGGAGAGTCCTGAGCATCTTGCAGAAGCACTTTGCAATCCTGGGCACAACCCTCACACCTGTCATTACCGCCCTTTTACAAGCTGGTAAACTGAGGCTCTGGGAGGTAGTTCAAAGGGAGATGCTGTTGCACATCCTCTGACTGACTCCCAAACATCCACCATCTCCGATTGCCAGTAAAAGCTGCGCATCTCATGGTCTTGGGGTCCATAGACATCTCTCTTAATTGCCCACATATAAGATTCTGACAAGATTGGGATTATTGGGGCCCTGGTTTCACTTGATGCTGTACAAAGACTAGAGGAGATAGGTCCCCTGCACAACGAAAGCCCAAGTGCACAGGGCAATGGTAGAGGTGCAACGGACATGGCATTGGGATAGAGCAAGGGAGACCTCTGACAATGGGGACATCTATGGAGGAGCAGAAGGAGAGCAATGGGACCAGGTAACTGCCAGATCCTACATCCTCATGCCTGTGAGCCTGGCCCTCCAGGAGCCCATTTCTGGAGGGACTGGATTACTCAGCTGGACACTCAGGGCTTTGCTGGGAGATGGTGGTCGAGCGCCCACAAACCACAAGGCTGCACGTGGTCACGCTCCCCGCAGGCACTCTAGGCACGTGGCTGGGTTTCTGCTGGGTCTGGCGTGGTTGGGCACAGCAATCATCTGCAAGATGCTCAGGATTCTTCTAAGTAAGCAAAGTGAGGGATTAGGGACAGATCAGTGTTTATTGGTGCCATGAGTTCAGCTGCTGCAGCACCTTGGCTTTCATGTAGCGCTGTGTGAGTTTATCCCTCCCATCAACTCTTCCTTCTCCAGAGCACAGCAGCAGGGCAATGTCCTCAATGGAAGAGATTTGAATGTCTCTCATCACAGTCAGTGTCATGAAGCTTGTCTGCTTGATCCCATGATTACCTGGGGTTTCTGTCCCCACCCCCAGGCCACTGCCCCAGGCAGTCTGGGACAAGTATAAAAGAGCTGAGGGCTCCACAGCCCTCTATCCAGCTTCCTCCGCTTGACTCTCCTGATCATCGTGGTAAGTCCGAGTCGGACCTCCATCTTTCCTTCCTCAGTGGTGGCTTTCTCAAGGCATCTTTGCTACCTGTTCCACCACTCTTTCATAGTGCAGAGTTGGGATGTGATGGGGCTGTTTCAGAACTATGTAAAGAAGGAAATTTAAACTTGCCTTTAAAGTTATGATATCCTGAGTATGTCCATATGGTCGGGTCCTTTGGGAGCTGGGTGATTTTCCATCTGCTTTGGAGGAGGGTGTTTTCCCTCTCTCCCATGGGCAAGTCAGGCTGAAGGAGCATGAGGGAGAGCAGGGGGTTTACAGCAGCATTTCAGCTCTGGAGTGCCTTTGCTACCTGTTCCACCACTCTTTCATAGTGCAGAGTTGGGGTGTGATGAGAGCCAGGAGGGGTTTGTCATCAAGCCTTGCACTGAGTTGTTGCTCTGCCTTCTCTTGCAGCTTCACCTCCTGAACCAAAAGATGTCCTGTGCCAGCCTGTGCATCCCTTCCTGTGGGGTGGCCGTCCCGGCCCCCGTGGCTGATTCTTGCAATGAGCCCTGTGTGCGCCAGTGCCCCGACTCCGTGGTGGTGATCCAGCCCCCGGCCACGGTGGTCACCCACCCTGGACCCATCCTCAGCTCCTTCCCACAGTCCAGCGTTGTTGGCTCGCTGGGAGCCCCTGCCGTTGCCGGGGGCTACGGTGGCTCTTTTGGAGGCCGTGGTGGTTTTGGAGGCTTTGGTGGCTCTGGGCTGTCCGGAGGCCTTGGGGGCTATGGAGGCTATGGAGGCTTTGGAGGCCAAGGGGGCTATGGAGGCTTTGGAGGCTATGGTCTTTCTGGGGGCTATGGAGGCTTTGGGAGCTGTGGATTCGGTGGCCTGAGCCGAGGCCACAGGTACCTCAGTGGCAACTGTGGGCCCTGCTAAATCCCAAAGATCCACCGAATTCAGCGCTGCCTCTGCTCTCGGTCTCCACAGGTATCATCTCTTGTCTTCTACCACCAGACACTGAACAAAGCTTTCAAGTCTTCTTTAGGCTGTGACAAAGTGGCTACCTGAACTTTATGGTCCTTGTTTATTTGCACAGAGTAACTTTACTGGTCTCCAGCTGGAGGCTTTAGGGTTTCCAGCTCTGCCTCTAAAAGCTCTCGTCCATCTGCCATACACTGGAGCTGTTCTCATCCTCAGATGAGTGTCCTCTGCTCTCCTCAGCTCAAGACCCCCAACTTACAAAAAAGTGGTAATCTCTGGGGTGGGCCCCTGGGTTTTGCCTTGCTTCAGCCTTATTATTTTTATGTTTCCAATTAATTGTTCCTTTTTTGTTTTATCTTACTGTTGTCACTGTCTGTTGAATTTTCCATCTACATTAAAGACTTCACATTGCATCAATAACTTGGCTTTTGGTTGGCGTTTATGCGTTCACTTTTCTGATTTTCCATTGTGGCCAGGGATATGTTGATAATGAAGCTCAAGCCACACGGTTAGATATCAGGTGGCACTTGTGTTAGTGAACAGGGTTGGTGGGAGGTTCACCAGCTTGTGATGGACACCCTTGTGTTGTAGCAAACAACAGATACAAAGGAGTTATCAACCCAGGCGTAAGGGTCAGCTTTTGAAGGAAAAGTATCCTCCTTTGAAGGAAAAAGTATCAGTGAGTTTATTTGTTACTTTGCGGTCCTTTTCTCAAAGCAGAAATATACAATGTCTTCATATTTTTCCACCCTAGATAGTTCAAAGCACTTCTCAGACACTCGTAACTATTGTGCATGTTTATAGTGTGTTATTACCCCATTAAAAGCTTAGTGCCCGTGTTAGGTGCTTCATTATTGAATAATAGTCACTTCAAAAGTACGTGTTGAGACATTTCAATATATGCTTTACTCAGAATGGGATTTTATAGCCTTCATATTTTCCATTCAAATGTGGCTCCGTACAAACAGCCGTGACAGACCCTACAATTAGTTATTTCGCCTTCTCACCCCAGAAACGTGGAATTCCTTCTAGTCTTATCTTAAGATTTCCTGGAGTGGAAGCAACCTATATGTGTGTGGCACTCCGTGTATTTCTAACTCTTTCTTATAACTCGGTCTCCTGTTAAAGCAGCTAAATCCGCAAACAGTCTGTAGAACTTCTGAGATATTAGTAATTATTTTAAGCTGACATTGTCTCTTACTTGTGCACTCTGAGACACTTAATCCTTTCCAGCTTTTACCTAGTAATTTATAACTTTCCAGATTTGTCTTAATAGATTTAACTAATGAAAAAAAAAATGAAATTATGCCCAGTCTCAGCAGAATTTATAGACCTTAATGTCAAGATACAGGTTGAACAACAACTTGCACTGTGCTGCTGTGGGGACCACATCAGGTGCCAGAGTTGGTGAGTGCTTCCCTGGGAATAAAGCTCCTCGGAATCCAGGAGAAAACTCCATCCCTGAAGCTGCTGGAAGTGTAACCCTCAGCGTTACTCCCAGAGTTTTTCGAGGAGTTTTGGCACTTTTATTTTGTACTGTCGCATGAGAATGGAGCTCTGTTGCTCTTGTGAGACTGCTCTCAAGGCACCTCTGTGTGTGTTCTTCAAAGGACAGCAATTACACTCACAATAAGGGTTCTAGGGTTTAGTAGAGATTTCAAAGCACTTCTCTGGCTGTTTTATGCCTGGACTGTGTTACAGCAGCGCGCTATTAAGAGGTTTCTGCTGCTGCCTGTTAGGTACTTCAGTCATGAATAATAGACTCCCTTCAGACTTGCGTCAAAGGATCTTGCCCTAATAACCATGGTGTGATTGTGCAGGCTGGGAAATTCATGGTGTTTCTTTGTCATTCAAATGGAGCCTCGCAATAACACTTGCAACCACTTCTCCTCACCAGCACTTAATAAAGTGAATGGAAAGTGTGCAATTTTCTGCTCTGTAACAGATCAGAATCCAGAAAGTATCCTCCCAGACACTGCCAGCACAAAAGCTCTTGAGAAAAAAAGAGATTTTTTTCCCAACTTCTTGGCTTATTCCCCAGTGAAATTGGGTTTGCCTACAGGCAGTCTGTGCATCTACAAATCACTACGATGTGGTGCTGTTACGTCCAACGTCTGCACATGTACTGGGATGCTGGGGCAAATTTGAAGGAATATATCCACATCCTTCCTAGGAAATTCCGGAATGGGTGAATTCATTTTCTGAGATACTATTAAATTATTCATTTGCAAATGCTGGGCTCAGGTTCAGCTGAAATTCATAACAGCTACAGGGTGCAGTATGTCCCCATAAAATACACCAAGCAGGGGACAAAAATCAGTGTACATCCACATCAGAAAACAAAAAACAGAGACATGTGATGATGCTATAACATTTTTAATAAGAATAAAGCTCACAATAAGGATCTAAAATAACACAGAAAGCAGAAGCAGAAAGAAAGCCTACAAAGATTAAACTACATCTGCAGAAAATCTCCCAGGGTCATTTTTGCTGCTACAGCTGTAGCATTTGGCTATCAATTTCCATTTTCAAACTTTTCCACTTGTTTAAGTCCAATGATACAAATTCGATCAGATGATTTGTTCTTTCTTTGGTATAGCTTCAAAATCAGTTAAGTCAGAAACATATCCATAGGAAGACTAGTAGGGTTAAGAAATCAGTAGGAAAAGAAGGAAGACAAAACATTTTGGAAGAATGTGGAAGGAGTTTTACAGAAATACTGAGCTCCCCAAAATACTACGGCTTTCAGCCGCAGTCCTGGACTCAGGGCACCTGCAAACTCTCCCCCTGACGGCAGCCGTGAATTCCGTAATTAATTCATTCTCAGTCCTCGTTTCCCATTAAATCCATCTGGATTTAGCAGGGGTAGCAGGGGTAGCAGCTCCCATAGCTGTATCTACGGGTGTAGCAAGAAGAGTAGGGGTAGCAGTAGCGGGAGCTGTAGGAGGGGTAGCAGTCCCGGTAACCGCACAGGCTCCCGTAGCCCCGGTAGCCGCAGGGGCTCCCGCAGTCGTAGGTCCTGTAGCTGTACACGGTCCCGTAGCTGCAGGGACTGCAGGGGGAGTAGCAGGAATCCTCACACTGGTTCTGGTAGCAGAAAGTCATCTTGGCGAGATGGAGGGAGGTAAGCCTAAAACAGAGCAGGGAAGACAAAACCTGTAAAACAATGCCCCCCAACAGCAAGTAAATCTCAAATGGTGCCAATGTGCAGGGAGGGAAGGAGAGGCAGCAAACCCAGGCACACTGCTGGACACCCTCTGGGCTCATCTATTGTTCTGTCCTGGTTTTTAAAGCCAGGTCTTCCCCCTAATCCTCCATCCCGACCAGCCTTTCTGATCTCTCCCACACCAGCCCCACCAGCTGCACCCGTGGATCATGATGGGAGGACGGGATTGTGAACCATGACCCCTGTGTCAAAAGGGAGACGTCAGGAAATAAAGTGAAAAATCCTTCATAGCCGTACCAAGATAAAGACTTTAAGGGAGAAGAGGGAAACGTGCAGGACTGACACAGTTTTAAACACTTAAATATTAATGAAAATCCAAGGAGGAAAGAATACCTTACACATAAATAATTCTCATCAAATCACAACCTTAATTCCCAATGCTTTAATCTAGATGAGAAACTAAGAGGGAGGGTAAAAGAGAGGGGGGAAACCGTATCGAATATATATCTTCATCATTCACTAGGTTTTCTAAATGTATTCCGACTTACCCACTTCTGTGAGGAGGACAAGGCAGGAGAAGCGAATGCCTGATTCTCAGCAGCGAGGGTTTTTATAGAGCGCCCAGTCCCGCCCAGCGCGTGAAAGACATGTCTGAGCCCTGGGTTGGCTCCAATTACCAACCACATTTTACTTCCTCCATGATTCCTTCTCATTGAGATACTGGTTCTCCACGGGGTTTCTGATTATTGGTCCAGCACTGTGACATGCAGGAAACACCCTCCGGGTTCCTTTGATCTCCAGACTATTGAGGGCAATTAAGCTTTGGTATCATTCTGCTGAATTCACTCCTTCCATAGAGCAACAAATCGACAGAATTTGCAAAGACGTCCAAATTACCAAATATGCCACTTTTGGAAGACAAGCCCCACCATCCATGTACTTTGTTGTATGGTTTTTTTCTGAAATACTTGTGGAAAATACTTGTAGCCTCTCCTTTTCACGTATTTCATAACTTTAATGACACAGGAAACACCACGGTCTTACCAATCCCTTCCAACATTTCCTATGACCAGCAAAGGGGGAAAGACCTTGTCTTTGATTTGATGCCGTCACGCAATAGGATATTGCTGTGTTTATTGATTCAGTGAGAAAATTGTCCTAGAAGCATTGAAATGGTATGTATATGACGTATTTGCAGAGAAAAAACTTCCAGGGACCCAATTCTGAAGCTATAATTTACAACCTTAATAAAGTATAAAACAGGATAACCCGATACACGTTTTTAGAAACTGTGTTACATAACACCGGGGTGGTTTCCACTAACATAGTATTAATATTTAAATAATAAATCTCTTTGTACGTTTAAATCTTTAATAAGTATTAATGAAGGCTTTGATATTCAAAATTTAGAGAAAGGGCCAGAACATCTGACATGCCTGTTATTATCCTGCCTTTAGCTGCGAGTAAACAGCAGTGTTTTGAGCTGAAGGTCACCAGGGAAGACCGGGATGTTGCTTCTTACCAGGTCACATTCACAGGGCTCTGCATTATTCACTGTCATTAACAACATTAAGGTAAACACCTCAACAACATTAAGAACATGTCATGTTGAGCCATATTTAGCATTTGAGGGACTTGTCAGGAAAACTACAGTTATTACGGAGATATGTTCCGCGTTGTTTTATCTTGTTCCTTGTAATGAACCCCTGAGTGAACAATTTTCTGATCTGAGTGTAAGCAATCACTAAGCAGTTTTATTTTGGTGCAATTAAATTTGCGTCGCTTGGGCTGGTTCTCCAGAAGACTTGAGTTTGGAAGTTTATTTCACCTATGGTGCAAAGCCTGGAAATTTCAAATATCGTTATTTCTACTTGAAAGCCTTTAGATTTATTGATTGCTCCCTGCTTTATGGTTCTCATAAAGCCTTGTCACTGACTCTTTACCTTATTCAAAAATATTTCCACTGTTCTTACATGAAAAAGGACCCCATTGTACTTCTGTGTAGACTTAGGAGATGGCTGTTGAATTTTGGTAAAAGATAGAGCACAGCAAGAAAATAAATCGGATTTTCTAAAGAATGACTTTCCTGTGTCAGGTTACAGTATACAATTCACTCATCCATGTATATCTGAGTGCAGCAATGTACAGACCCATCTCGTCCTCTAATCCAAACACTCTTCTTCCACTTCTGCTTTTGATCTGGATAAAATACGAACAAAATTATAAATAGAAATAATGCCAATGTTCTGACCTAAAAATGCAATTTTGAAATAAAAAGAAACAAGAAATGCTTTCTAGAGATTATCATTTCCGTAAAAATTTTGAAATTCTTTCTTCCTCAAACCATTGCAAGCGTCGTATGCTGATATTTGTCCATTGTTCCAAAATTGGCATTGTGAACATGTATCAATCCTGTTCTCATTATCCTTCCTTCCCTTTCCTGTTATAACTCAGATTTCACCACACTAATTCTACAAATATAATTGACCAGGAAGTCCGAACATGAAAGAAAACTGCAACGCAATGTCATGCTTTTGGAAGCCAAGAACTGACTAATTATCACAAACTATGAAAAACAATTACATCAACTGAAGGAATGACGTGCACAAGTGAATTTGTTTTGTGATGAATAAGAGTTTAAAGCACAGTAGGTTTGGTCAGATAAATATATAAAAGGGAGAGAAACTCAAGGTTCTCCACTCGCATCTCCAGACTTACGTTCTCACCGAACTTGGTAAGTCAATATCTTACTAAAATGTCCTTATTGCTGTGTAGATGCTCTGGGTTTGCTATATTGCTGTACAGATGGCAGTTGTATTTTAAAACCAAAGGCTGTGATTTTACAGCCACGCCAGTACAATTCTTTGTTTTGTTAAAAATGGGATATTAAGTTGCTCATATAAGCTTAGGAGATTGTCTCGTCTAGCCATGCACTATGAGAAGTTACCTTATTTTATGATATATTGAAGCATTTCAGGATTCTTTATTTTAAAGCTGACAATGCATTGCAATTTTTCAATTATTTTGAACAAAAAGCAAGTATATATTCAACTGGTAATTAAGACAAGGACACAGGTCCAAACAAACAAGCTGGCTTTTTCAGCAGAGCGCTGCTGACTTGCACAGGGAGGGGATTTCTTCTGTGGTGTCTTGTATCAATAGCAAAAACTGGCAGAATTCATTCCTGATCTACTGTCTGTTCACTTATGGTTTTTAGAGAACCATCAGACAATGATATAGACAACCTAATCATAAAAATATCCTCTCTAAAATACTATTTGCATCCAAACTGCCAATTTTAAGCAACAGCAACAAAAAAAAGTAGCATAAAATATTTTTAGCAAGGAAAAAAAAAAGGAGAGAAAACAGAAAGGAGTGAGTCGAGCAAGACGGGAGCTGGGATATAGCCTTTAATGGAGATGTTGGATTGGTTCACAGAATCATAGAATTACAGACCAACTGGGGTTGGAAGGGACCTCTGGACACCACCTTGTCCCACCCTGTGCCCAAGCAGATCGCACCAAGAGCAGGTTGCACAGGATGGTGTCCAGGCAGGTTTGGAATCTCTCCAGAGAAGGAGACTCCACACGCTCTCTGAGCAGCCTATTCCAGGGCTCTGACACCCTCAAAAGAGAGAACTTTTTCTTCATGTTCACATGGAATTTGCCATGTTCTACTTTGTGCCTGTTGCCCCTTGTCCTGTCCCCGGGCACCACTGAGAAGAGCCTGGCCCCATCCTCTTGCCCCCCGTCTTTTAGCTATTGCTCAGCATCGATGGGATCCCCTCTCAGTCTGGTCTGCTCCAGAACAGCCCCAGGTCCCTCAGCCTTTCTTCACGAGAGGTTCCCATGTTCATCTTTCTCTCCTCTCCCTCTTCCCCGTGGTTACTCAAGAGTCTGCTAGAAGCAGCGAGCTGCCGCTTGGTCTCTGGGGCCAGACTTTATCTTCTTCTCTTCTGTTGTGTTTCAGACTTGCCTCCCTCCATCTCGCCAAGATGACTTTCTGCTACCAGAACCAGTGTGAGGATTCCTGCTACTCCCCCTGCAACTACGGGACCGTGTACAGCTACCGGACCTACGACTGCGGGAGCCCCTGCGGCTACCGGGGCTACGGGAGCCTGTGCGGTTACCGGGACTGCTACCCCTCCTACAGCTCCCGTTACTGCTACCCCTACTCTTCTTGCTACACCCGTAGATACAGCTATGGGAGCTGCTACCCCTGCTACCCCTGCTAAATCCAGCCACGTAACGACCAGATAGGAAACAAAAGGCAAAATAGCGATTTATGGCTCCTCTACGAATTTTTACCTTTGCTAAGCTCCTGTGACAGCAGTTGCAGTTCAGGGGTGATCCTGAGTGCTTAGCATCGCTCTTCAATCTCTGCAGCTATTTCAGATAACCTGCTTTTAGGGAAAACTCTTCCTTCATAGCCTCTGTTGGTGGACATACTGTGTGTTTCAAGGTGTAGCTTTGCAACAGGAGATGCAGACCTGGAGCAGATGCCTCGTCTAGCCACGTGCTGCACTGACAGCCCTGCTCTTCACCAAATACCACCGTAGTCCCAAAAAGCATCTGCTGTGAAATGTAGTAACTCTTTGTTTAAAGAATGTATGAATCTATGGATACTCCTATTTTCTTCTACTGCAATCTCTATCTGTACAGTGCTTCTTACTCTCATTAAAAGATCTTGCATCGCAGTACTGCTTCTTGTTATATTTTTATGGGAATATTTTTTTTATATATTTTTTAATGGGAATTTTTTTTTTCTTTTATGTTTGACTTTATTAATTATTTACCCAACACATGGCAAAAAAAGGAGGCCTTAGCTTTTCAGGTGTGTGATTTTAAACATCTTGTGGAGTCTGAGGTGACTGAGGACACATTAAACACTTCATTTTCTCTCTCCTCCAAGACAGTCCTGAAATCTCACATCTGCTGTGTCTTAACTCTGCCTCTCTGCCACCAAACATGCCAAAACACCGCTTATTTGCAAAACACTAGCTTAGAAAAGTGAAGATTTAAGAAAATTAAATCAGTGCTTGCGGACTGTGTTCCAGCCCAAGTTATGCCACATTTGAGGATCCCAAAGGCACCAAATGCCAGACTCCCTAAGATTTCCACAGCTCTGAAATAAATACCTGGTGCAAGAAGACACAGGAGCTCACACTCGCCTCTTCCCAATGCACATCAAAGTTTAAATATCTCCATTTCTCCACCGGAGATTACTTTTTGCGGTTGATATTCTATGTGTGAACCCTGAGCTTAGTCCTTCCCGTTGCTACCGTGGCAGGGCTGGCTTTTGGGCACGCGTCCTGCAAGCGTCTCCCAGCCCTTGCCATCAGGAAAAACTGTTCTACAAAGGAAGACAAGAAGCATGCAGATTCCAGATAAGGAGAGGCTTTGAGAGGAAGCCTCTTCTTCCCCGTAATTAACAGGAGAGCACGTGACAGGGCGGGAGAAGAGTTGCTGGAAGTAAAAGTGACTGTCAGCTTGATGACGAAAGGATGAACCTACCAGGACGGTTCCCAGGCTGGAGCCATCCGGAGCACTGGAAGATTGAGTTTTGGAAGTGATTTCCGAGAGGAAACGTTTCTCCTCCCAGTCTTCAGGAGCTTCAGCTTCCCAGCAAACCCTGATCTGTGTGTAGGAGGCAGAATTATGGACTTCGGCGCTGAGGTTTTCCCTGATGGGTAGACCACGAGGGAAGGGATGGCTGTAGGGTTTCTTGCCTCATTCCGTAAGTGCCAGGTGCAACCAATTCCCAGCAGAAATTCATGTTCATGTGAATTTGCATCCGGTTAAAAGCACGGCATAGAAATGAAGCAGAACCGAGAGACTTATTCGACAGGTTATTCAAGAGGTTGGCAGAGGAGGCTGCAAAAGAGAAATGTGAAGAAAAGAAGCCTGTGAGTCCCGGGTTGAGCCGCGAAAAAACATCCACCAAACCCTGCTTTGAAAATTCTGGTCTACGGTAGCACACCAGGCAATTCTGGGAAATTATTTCAAACAAAGTTACCTACTAACAGAGGCTTTTTGTGTTCACTACACTAAAGTGTTGTTTTATTAGTTTCCTTCTACTGAAAACGTTCTCATCTGATATAACAGTCTAGAAATCGCAATCAATGTTTCCCTCAACTGGTCATGAAGTGCAAATTCATCATCTGAAGGTATTCATTTCTTATTTAAAAGTAGCTCAGGTTTATGCATGAATTTGTTTTAAAAATTTAAGAGAAGTTATCAGTTGACGCAGTATATCGTAGACTTTCCTATTTCAGAGTAACGAAAAGAAATTAGAACTGAATTGTCTTTTAACTAGTACAGTTTATTTTTTCACTTGTTAAAAATGTTCAGATGTAAATTTTGTATCTAATGCAAAAAAAAACACAATAAAAAAACTTATATGAAATACTCTTCATTATTAAAAAAAGAAATTCCTAGAATTTTTTCAATAAATATTGTCAGTCATAGGACATTGTCACAAGAAACAGGGAAAAGTGAATTGCGTCTCAAGAAATTATGGTGGTTTTTTTCTGTACACATACAAACAAACAGAAATATACCCTATCTGTATTTAAGAATTACATGTATTATTTTTATATAATCTTATTACTGATGGAGATAAAATATTACTTATTACTGGACAGGAGATGAAATAACTATGCACTTGATAAAATAAAAGTTAAAGAGAAAACATAATAGTCCACCTTGAGAGAAAATACCAACATTTTCATTAACTTTTTCAGACTTTCTTTTTAATACACACTTCTAAAAAAATTATGTTAATTCTGATATCAACTCTACCCACTACAGCTGGAAAAATACATCAAAGGAAGGAACAACATAGGAAAAATAATTTGACAAATGAAGATGACAAAACACAATTGAAATCTTATAGGGATTAACACGCTTAAATCTGCAATATTCTCATGAGTCAGGGCTTTTAACTAAATGTCTTAATATATTTTCCTCTGTGAATTCGACGCCATCTTTCTATAATTACCAAGATATTTTTATAAATTGTATTTCCAGTTAGTGACTGAACACTGCCCTGTGCCTTGAAGCCTATTTAGGGCACTTCCCTATATTACTTTTGTTTGTAGGTACAGAAGTGCAGGCTTTAGTGAATTCACACTTCTCACGTTCAATTTCTGATTTTCAATATTTGGGACATCAAAATATTCTATTCATTTTGAGCAGTTGAAAAATTTCATGCACGTATTTAATTTTCCAAGACAATTAATGGTCATTTCAGTGTTTTGTGAGGGACCTCATCTCAGCTGCCATGAAGGTTCCTCGGTCACTCGGAAATTACGATCTTCTGACCTGCGCAAACAGCAACAAAACTAAATTTTTTTGCACACGTCACAACTTGAATTAATATAATTGGTTTCTTCAACATCAAGGATCATTAGCTTGTTCTCACCTCCACATGACATTGCAAATGTTGCCAGCCTCTTTCATCTTAAAACTTTTTGGGTCATCCTCCATTTTAATTATTGAATTGAGATACCAGAATGGACAAGAGAATGACAGAGACATAGATTAGAGATGACTGAGAATAATATTTAATATATTTGGGATATTTTTAACTTATTAAACTTGTATGCAACTTGAATTATGTCAGCATTTCCTAGAGGAAAAAAAATGGTCTGTACACTTATTTATTCCTACTATACATTTAAAAATAAAACCAGGTGCACCTTCTCTTCCTCATAGAATAAAAATTCCTACTGCCAGAGTAGCAGGGGAAGCAAAAATATTTTGTGCCACTTTTCTTTGTTTCCTATTTATGCCCGTAAATTTGAGTTTTGTATTTGAGAAAAAAATATATATTTTCTCCTCTTCTTCTGAAATACCTTTATTTTACATCTTTAATATTTCCTTTCAGTCTGGTTCACTAAACTAACTAAAACCAGAAAGTTTATAAAATTTCATCATTCCTTTGGTAATTTTTACATACACATACATATACCTATCAAAAAGGAGGGAGGAAAAATTAATCACATAGTTTATACCTCACCATTGCACCTGCTTATAAAAAAATTCTTTCAGAATGTCACCAAAGAAAATGTAAATTACATTCTGTAACACTGATGTTAGCAGAATATTTAGAAGTTAAAAATTATAAATATTATTTTACAGCAAATCTTATTGATGCTGGTTTTCAACCTCATCAACCATTTCCCAAAGCCCAAACGAAGCAGAGAACAACACAAAAAGTCAAGAACCGCCTTTTTTTTTCTTTCCTCAACAAACATCTCCTTGTGTGACCTTCACTCAGTGAGCCATGCCTCATTTGCATATTAAATGAGGATAATAACAGACATTCTAGGAGTGCTGAGCTTCATCAGAATTTATGGTATCAATGCTCTTCCAAAACAGTCATTAAAGTCTTACTTTAGCAATGTTTGGATTATTTAAATATTAATGGTTTGTTACTTTAAGGTGCCTCAATGTTGTATAATAAACAACCAAACGGGGAAGGGAGCCCCTGGGGTAAGCAATGCTTCTCTTTATTAAAACTAAGTCATTACAGTCATTATCCCCACACGGTGCAGACGGGCAGAGATACAGCCATATCTCGCCGGGTAACACCGCCACGAAAAATCAAAGCAGTGATTTCTCCTTTCCTGGCTTGGAAAAAAATCCCTTCTGCAGTGGGCAACTTGCAGCACTTCCCCAGTTACTTTTTATTCTGCTGAAGCCCATGGCAAAGCAAATTATTCCGTAGGGCACCTCTCCAGCTCCCATCCCCAGTAAATGCTTCCCACCGGTCAGAAATGGTCTCCATCCTACTGGCTTCCACCACCACCTTCCTAAAAAAAATGCTCTCCCCCTTTTCTCTGCTCCTGTCCCTGTGATAGATCAATGGGAAACCCAGATTCTGCACTACCAGATCCTGCAGAAATACTTGCCCCAGTATTATAAATGCATATATAAATCTCATACAGCTTTATCTCTCATATAAGTAGGTCATGTGCGTGTGACATCATGAGACACTCATTCAAGCGATATTTTCTAACCATTTTATCCAGAAAAGAGAGAGAAAAACCTAAAAAAACACAGACCATAAGGCTTAAGACACGTTGCTCAGGTGCACATTTAATTGATCCTGTGCCTTGGCCTGAGCGTCTCATAGTGCGTGTGCCAAATTATAGGCAGTAGATGGACCTAGAGGAATCAATGGAATGCCTGTCATTAATTGTGACGGAAATGAATCAAAACGGCTGGTAGAAGCCTGAAGCACATAGTATAATGCCTTTTTCCTCCTCAGGTATTTTACATCACACCGCAACGTGCAGAATTCACCTCCCTTTTAGGGCCATAACATGAAGAAATAGTCCACGGAGTCCCCAGCTAGGCAGGCAGCGTAGCTGGAACTGTTCCGTGCATCCTCCAGTTTCGTTCCCAGTTGCCCTCTGGGTGAATTTCCCAGAAATCCATTTGTCCTGGAAAGTTTTAAACTGGAAGAATCTCACAGGGTGTAATCACACCACCATAGGAATTTGAAAATTGTCCTAAATGTGGAGGAAAACAATTATAGCAATTGGACCGGTGATGTACTTCCGAAATTTGGTGTGTGACTAACAGGCAATGGAAGCACATGGAGAATTGTGTTGACTTCCCCTGGTCTCAGAAACCGTATAAAAGCCCTCGCAACCCCACACTCCTCACACCGCTCTCCTCTTGGATTACTCTTCTCAGTGAACTCGGTAAGTACAGCTCCTGTTCTCATGGAGATTTCTTTAACTTGGGAGCAAGTCCTTTACCAGCATTCTCTGATTCATAACGATGGTAGAAGCATTTTATCCTTTGTGCTTTTAATATGGTAAAAAAAAAGCGGGGACATTGATAAATTCGGGTATCTTTGGTAGGATGTGAAGCCTAGTTACGAGTTTTGCCGTCATGTAAGATATTGCAACAGCTCTATTTCTTTGGCTTTTTAAATGGAATGGAAATATTCTTTTTCTACTTTGTGATGCTTAACACTGTAATTTGGGTTCGTGGGCAGAAATGTATATTACGCAAAGTGGAAATGGCTTTTGATGGAAAGATGTTGCAATGCTGAATATGGACAGGTATTGCTTTAGTCTCTTTGAAGTCACTGGAGCAGCTCTGAGCAGCAACAGAGAATTTAAACTTTTGCGCTTCCCTGCACAAGAGAGTATTTTTGGTATTTGCTAGAACTGGCACTTAACAAAATGTGTGAACCAATATTTCAAAGGAAAAGAATAGTTTCTTAAAACCAGGCAAGGAGGCTGACTTTAATGAACTTGCCAGGTTGTGTATGAATGCTTCTGAGAATGTTTGAAAACATGGCATGGGATTCAGGTCCAACATTAGGAGACCTCATGTGCCTATCCTGAGCCACGGACTAGCTGTCAAGGATTGATCTCATCTGGGAAGTCAGACACCCAACACAAACATGTCCATTTGGATGTGTATCTGCAAGCTGAACCTCCTGGATCCAAAGTCCAAAAGTACAGGGTATTTTGAGAGTGATGAGAGCCTGGCCCAGGTTGCCCAGAGAAGCTGTGGCTGCCCCATCCCTGGAGGGGTTCAAGGCCAGGTTGGACGGGGCTTGGAGCAACCTGGTCTGGTGGAAGGTGTCCCTGCCCAGGGCAGGGAGGTTGAAAGGAGATGATCTTTAAGGTTCCTTTCAGCCCAAACCATTCTTTGATTCTATGTCGAATTTTAAGAGGAGAAGGTAAAGAATAGAAACTGTGTCTCAGGGCTCAATCTAGCAAGGAGGAAGCACTTGGAGGAAAGGGGCTCTATAAAATGGAAGCCAAAATCACATCCAAAGACTGAGGGGATCTGCTCAATATTTCTTTCCAAACCCACCATGCTCATGCCACCAAGCCACCTCTACTGCTCTTCCCTGCAAGCTGAACCTTTTACCCTCTGCTTTCTTTCAGGTTCGCCCACCTCCCTCCACCACCCCAAAGATGTCCTGCTGCTACCCCTGCTGCTACAGCGTGTGCTACACACCCTGCTACAGGACCGTCTGCCGCTCCCGCAGCTACAGCTACTGCAACCCATGCAGCTACAGCTGCTGCAGCCCCTGTAGCTACAGCTGCTGCAGCCCCTGCAGCTACCGCAGCTACTACCGCCGCCGGTACAGCTGTGGAGACTGCTGCAGCACCCGCTACTGCTACCCTTCCTGCTGTAACTACAGCTACAGGTGCTGCTACCCTTGCTGCTAAACCCATCGGCAACATCCCCGCAACAAGAATCCACCCCGACCCGGCAAGCGAAGACGAATGGCTCATCATCATCATCAGCGGTGATGTTTCCAGAAGCGCTGAGCCCCTGTGATGGCAACCGAAGTTCCTGAGAACGGGGAGCTTGGCTTCTCTCTCTCCAGTTTCTTGGCTTTTGTATTTTTTGTCATTCTCTCCATCTTCTCCTTCCTGTCTTTCCCAACTATGAGTTTTCACTTGACGTTCTCCTGCATTTAAAACCCCTTTGCACCCCTTCAGCAACGGCAACAACAACCTGCAGTTCATCTGAAGCTTCTTACAGCACCTGCAGTGGTGCTAAAGGACTTCTGCAAAATTAGCTTTTGTGTAATCTGCATTTTCAATAACTACTTCCAGTAAGGTGCTGTAATGGAGAAGTATTACATCTGTCTCTCCTTTGATCTGGATTTACAAGGACCTAAAGGCTGAACAACATGGCTTCAACAGAAAAGAATGTTCTGTACAGCACGGTGCAATGACTCATCTTCTGTAGCTCTTTCTAGTATCCCAAAACTATAATCTTTCTGTATCTGTGCCAACTTCTTTTCTTACTGCATTAAAAGTTTTCTGCACCAAAAAAAACCCCCTGGAATTCCAGTTGTCTTCTTTCCTTCAGCTTTGGAGTTTTTAGCATAGGAAGGACATGAACCTGTTGGAACGGGTCCAATGGAGAGCCACGAAAATGATCAGAGGGCTGGAGCACCTCTCAGGCTGGGAGAATTGGGGTTGTTCAGCCTGGAGAAGAGAAGGTTCCAGGGAGACATTATAACAGCCTTCCAGTAGCTGAAGGGTGCTACTGGAGGATGGGGAGGGACACTTGGGACATCAGGGATGGGAGCAATGGGACGAGGGTGAAAGGTGTTAACCTGAAAGAGGGGAGATTGAGATGAGATCTCAGGAAGAAATTCTTTCTTGTGAGAGTGGTGAGAGCCTGGCCCAGGTTGCCCAGAGAAGCTGTGGCTGCCCCATCCCTGGAGGGGTTCAAGGCCAGGCTGGATGGGGCTTGGAGCAACCTGGTTTGGTGGGAGGTGTCCCTGCCCAGGGCAGGGGGGTTGGAACTCGATGGTCTTTACGGTCCCTTCCAACTCAAACCATTCTGTGATTCTGTGGTTCTATAATTCTCTGTCCATCGTCTACATGAATATACTGACTGGTGGCATCCTGGAGGGACTTTGTGTCCCTGTTGCTGACAGAGCACTTCACAACCCTTGTCCCCAAAAATACACTCTTTTCTTCCCTTCTAGCCCTCAGAAATTTGGGAAAGGCCACAAAAGGCCCTTTACTTGATTGAAACTGTTATCAGATTCTAAGATTAATATATTTCAGCTTAATTGGGCTGTAATAGTCTTTATTATAATGTTTTAAAATGGAAAAAAAAATAGTCCCAGGTCTCTATAGAGAGTATATAAAAATGTTCCAGTGAGCAGAATATTGCCCTACTCCTGGAAACCAAATGCAAATGTTCTTATTCCAGAATCACAATTTTCTATCACATTCCAATTTAACAGATGAATTTCATTACCAGCCAGTGGAACATAAGAAAAAATAAAAGCCTGTATTAAAAGCAATGGGAAAAAGCATCAAGGACAACGTGGTGGCTTTTCCTCTCTTGATGTTGGTCTTGAAAACTCAAAACACTGCCTTGATCTTCCACACAGACACCAGGTAGAACAAAATCCATTTCTACAGGTGTGGTTTAATAATTAGCTAAATCCGGGGACTAAAAGCTGGAAGACAGAATGAAAAGTAGGAAAAAAGAGAGGCAAATAGTCCTTAAAATAAAAATAGGGTGAAACAGTACTCGGTCTCCCCAGGGTGTTTTGGTAGCTCTTGTCTGCCAGCTGCCCCTGGCCAGGGAAGCAGTGAGAAAGCGCTATCATCTTCCTCCTCATACAGCCACAGCTTCTCAGTTGTAGAATCAAGAGGTTCTATAGCCTCTACCCATAATATTCAGGGGGAGGAAAAGTCAGTAAAAATCAGTTGTGGCTCTGCTTCCTTCCAAAATGAGGGCTCTGAGTACATTTCCCTGAACTGACAGGCAAAAATGCCCCGCTGCTGCTGTGCCTCAGAGGTGCTGGCCACTGGATATTCATTTCTCCTACCAAATTCCTTAGGTCCAAAGGGCAAATTCCTCCCACTTCTCCATCAGGGAACCCCTAATCTTTCAACCCTGATCTTTCCAAGTCCCTTCCAACCAGGGCTGTTTAATGATTCTATGATAATATATAAAACACGAACTTCTTTCAAAACTTAAAGCCTGATGAGTCCACGATTGCCTATGACCTCAATATCAAATCACAGCCAGTGATGGATCATGTCCTAATCACATCACAACAGCAGCACTAAATTATTCTTAATGAACCATCTATTTGGAACACACCAAGTGAAAGCCCAGAGTTGTAGAAACGTGCATAACCAGAGCTACAGCTGAAGTTTCTCACAGCTACAAAAGTCCATGTTTCTCAGCTTGAGGAGGGCAAGTCTCTACAAGAAAATCCTTGAATACACAAAGTTAACGACTTTGTCACCTGATCCATGCGAGGCTATTGATTTCAAAATATTTAAGGAAATGCAAGTGAGAAATAAAACCAGAAATACAGTATTGATGCAGCATATTTTTTTAATGAGTGAAAGGCAGATATACTTTTAGAAGCATACAGAACTGAAAGACTACATTCCAAAAGACACATTACACCCCACCTACACCATTCAGACTTAATGTTTTGTACGTTGTTGCAACAAACATAAAAGCCAGCTTGCAAAGAACTGCAGTACCAACAAGCAAGCTTTTGATCAAGAGGAGAGTTCCGGTGGCAAGAGAGGAAGCAGACACATGGGCAGAGTAAAGACAAATCACTGCAAGCACTTCAAGAGCAGCGCAGAGCACTCAACACCTCGATGGGAGGTGGCTGCTGTCACCAGGGCTCTTGCACATCAGGGACCGCTGCTGCCGAGGTTCCCCGTCAATCCGTGCTCGCCAGGCCAGGGTTGATCTTCACTTCAGGGATGTTCTCACTGGGTTTAGCAGGGGTAGCAGCTCCCGTAGCCGAACCTTTGGCCGTATCGTGAACTGAAGGGGTAGCGTCCAGAGTAAAAGCCTGGGTAGCCATAGCAGTCCCCAGAGCCATAGAAGCCCCTATAGCCACCATACAGGCCCCCATAACCGTAGCAGTCCCCAGAGCCATAAATGCCCCGGTAACCGTACAGTCCACCATAGCCGTACCGGTCCCCGAAGCCGTAAAGGCCCCGGTAGCCGTAGAGGCCCCCATAGCCCCGGTAGCCACAAGGGCTCCCACAGTCGTAGCCTCCTCGGTAGCCATACAGGCCCCCGTAATTGCAGGGAGAATAGCAGTCATCCTCGCACTGGCCTTGGAGGAAAGTCATCTTTCTGCGATGGAGGTAAATCTGAAAGGCAGCAGCAGGGAGGAAAGCAAAAGGAATAAATACTTGCAGTGGCAGTAACAGCCTTGGAGCCCAAAGACTTCTTCACTGGCCCCGGGAAGGACGGAAACAACATTAGAACCAAATCCTTCAACTCCTTATTACATCCCTTTTCTATTACATTTCATTTACCCACTGTTTTTAAACTATTTTTTTTTTTTCTTCTCACTTACAAAGATTGTTGAAGGCACTATGGAATAAACCTGCTACAGATCAAAACCTCCTTGCTGGTGTTCCAGGATTTTTCTTAAAGAATACTGTTAGGAGTTAATAATCCTAAATTTAACCTCCTTGCTGGTGTTCCAGGAGAGCTTAGGATATCAGCTTTACATAGAGCTCTGTGTTTCCAAATCCTCCAAGAAAGCTTAAAGTGTCTGATGTTTGCCATGATAACACACTTCAGCTTTTGGGCCCGTTGTTGCAAATCCCATTTCAGCAATTTACACCAATTTTTGGCATCTGGAGAGCCTGACAGCACATGCAAGAAGTTATGGAGAGTTAACACACTTGAGAAATCTGCTGTCTTGCCAAGCAGACCTGAAGACACCCCTTAAAATAAAAGAGATTTATGGAAGAGACCACTGAGGGCCACGGTGGGGAACATCTTCTCTAGCTCTGCAGATCCACCAGCCAGTGATCTGTACTGGGGAGCCAGATACCCCAGGTACCAACAGGACCAGGAAAGTTTCAGCCCTGGCTTTTAAAGCCACCAGTTCCTGCAGGGCAGCAGGAGCAGGTGCAAGGCAGAGAGAAAGAAATCTTACATTTCAGAGAAGCCACAATCCCAACATAAACCATTAAACAGCAATTTCTAATCCTTACGACGAGACCAAATGGAGAAAAGACTTACCAAGTTCACCTGGAGGAGGAAGGCAAGAGAGCTGATGAGGAGTCTAGAGCTCCGAGCCCTTTTTATACTGGTTCTTTGCCTGCCCGGCTTATCTAAGACGCCCTTTGTATTCAAAAGGTTTGTAGCCTTATTGGTTGGAAAACAAATTTGCCTGTACACGTCATATCTTCAATTAATATAATTTTCTTCATTGTTTGGGATTATTAGTGTGTTCCCAGCCTTCCATATGTCACATATATTACAGGTTTCTTTCATCTTAAAATTTTCTGGGCCAACTGCATTCCTGATACCATTTTATTGTCTTCACTGTCAAAACTGAAGTTTATTTTATATACTATAAAAGTGTTTATAACTTCCCAAAGACATTGGAGGGAGAGAAATTTTAAGTAACAGAGGAAAACCTTCCTGCATGTTTGAAAACACCTGTTCTTCACCCGAAACTCTGGTAAACCGTGGAACCGGCTTCCCATTTAAGGGAAACATTAACACCTTTTTAGGTATTTTATAATAAACTACGTAGCAACTTCAGGAAACACGACCAGCAGAAACTACAAAAAAATCTTAATTGCATTTCTCCGAAGTGTTCATGGTGAATAAAAGTCGTGCTGCTGCATGAGCAGAAAGAATGTTTTCAGCAGAAATATGACTACAGCTTTGTTTGCAGTTTAGTTCACTAGAGGGCTTGACCGCGAGTTCAGTGGAACAAAGTTGAGAAAGCAAGTACAAACTTGGTCTGGAAAACAAGAAACGGTAAGAATTTTGTGAGATTTACTAAATGTTATTTTCCAAGGAGCCAGGTTAATATTTTCTTTGCAAAGGATCAACCACAGGTATCAAATGCGGTACAATAGTGAGGAATGGTGGAGTTTGCCGCAAAACTCCTTGCATGACCTTCACCTAATTTCTGGCATTAATTTGAATATAAAATAAGGGTAATAATGAGCAAGCAGGATGTTGAGGCTTCCTCCAAATTTTGAATACCAAAGCACTTCATAAACACTCATTAATGTTTTCAATTTGCAAAGTGTTGCACTATTTAAATATTAATAGTTTGTCACCGAAAGACACCCCCAGATTTAATAATATGGTCACTTACAAAGACACATCTTGTTTCTAAGTCCTAATAAGGTAATGCATTATGTTATATGAAAGTCAAAAACAATTAGAAAAAAAACTCTTCTAAAATAAGAAGAAATATTTGGGAACTTTCATAAGGCACTTGAAAAATTTCTTCCAAATCACTGGTTTAGAACCTGAGACCCAAAAAATCAAGCAAAGCTGTTGGCAGGAGATCCCCACCAGTATCAGAGTACAGAGAGGTCATGACAATGCTGAATAGAAGTGCTACTACATTTCGGCACACCAAAGACAAGCCTACTCCTTTACTCCCTCATGCATTGCACCAGAGATGCAAAAGCCAAGTGAACGGAGTACCTACAAGGAGATTGCGCAACCGGTAATGGTCTGAATATCTTCCAAAATTATTCCTATCCGTCCAACTACAAAGAATTCCGTGCAATTTTACTAGAAATGTGCTGAGCCCGTTTCTTCTTGTTTTAAGATGAAAGAAATTCTGAAGGTGTTAGACGTGTGTCATACCATCAAACTTTGAAAATATGAAAATCACTGACTCCAATTACATCAATTGACGGAATAATGCACGCAACAAGATACGTTGTATAACTAACACCTCAGTTTTAGAAGGTATATATATGGACCCACAACTCCGAAGTTCTATCCACTTCTCTTGAGCTACTCCCTTCGGTGAACCAGGTAAGTCAATACTGACTTTACTCTCTGATATACGTACATTTGCGTGTATATATGTCTATATGTCCGTATACTACTCCCTTCGGTGAACCAGGTAAGTCAATATCGACTTTACTCTCTGATATACGTATATTTGCGTGTATATATGTCTATGTGTCTGTCCGTATAAATAATTCTCTCTGTGTGCATGGATATAAGAAAAAATGCATACATATATACGACAGATGCATCATCTGTCTATATGTACAGATGTTCTGTAAGATTTCTTTTGACATTTTGGAGCTAGTCGCAAGCATAAAATTCTCTGCAACCTCAAAGAATTCCTTCACAGAAATTTTTTTGCTCCTCCTGCTCTTATTTAAATGTAGGCTTTAACGCACCGAAAATTTGAAGCTTACTGCTACAATTTTGAATTCATAAGTAATTTCCAGTTCCAGATTATTTCGATTGGGTTTTCAGAATTCAAATCCTTAGATAAAAAAACTGTAGGAAACATTTACTACTTAAGTAGACATCATGGAAGGAAATTCCTCCATTTCATTGCATTCTTGGAGCTTATCCCACACTGAGTGGCACCACTACGAGACATAAGGGGATGCATGGAATAGGCTGTTGGACTCATCTGAATAAGCATCAGTGTCTGAACTGGCATATTTTTTGTTAATTTATTCAAATTTCTCCAAACTTTGGGGTGGGAAAGTTCAGTTCTCAGTTGGTAAAACCTGTATTTTCTATGTATAATCCACCGTTTTCAAAAGATGAGGGGAAAAAAAACAGAAGAGTTCTTTAGGATTCAGGAAAATAAATGAGGTAGTTAAGAGGAAGAAAAATACCTGCAGTTGCATTTCTTTGGCTCTGTCCAAGCTTTGAGCCTTTCTTCCCGCTGTCAGCATCCCATAAACTCACCTGGCTTCTGGCTGTGTGTTTCAGGTTTACCTGCATCAACGAACCATGACTTTCTACAGGGACCTCTATGACGATGGTTTCTACTCCCAGTATGGCTATGAAGACCTCTATGGTTTGGGGGGCCTGAATGGCTTCCGATTTGGGAGCCCATATGGCTACTACCGGGACCAGTACCGATATGGGAGCCCATATGGCTTCAGAAGCTTTGGGAACCTGTATGGGAACAGAGGCTTGAACAGTTATGGGGGCTACTATGGGAACGGGGATCTGTACGGATTCGGGTCTGGCTACCCCTTCTTTTCTCATTTTGGAAACAGATACAACTATTGAAGCTGCCATCCATGCTGAACCAGCAGAAATAGCACCCAAGGAATGAAATGCAGGACACAGATTCATGGCTACGGTTACGGTGCTGAGAAACGCCAAGCACCCGTACCTCTGTCTGAGCTCAGGGGGACACATGGGTGCCAGGCTGTGTAAGACTACCCCATAGTTACCCTCTCTAACACCTCCTGTCTCTTCAACTATTACTCTAAAGGGCAACTTGAATTACGGCAAGTACTGAGGAACCTTTGCAGCATGTTGATGGAGGAAAGCAAGACTTTTAGGTGTGAGTAAGGTGCCTTCTGAGTTAATTCATGGCACTTCGTATTGCCATAGTAATAGAAGTTTCTGCAACCACCATGAACAAGTCCACTTTGCTCAGCTATAAACTTCACCAAAGATGACACCTCGTAGAGAAGCTCCTGCTGTATAACCATGCTGTCCCTCATCCATCAGTGATTTACAACCAACTCTGCAAGCAAGAAACACGTCTGGACCATCAAACTCCACCATTTCCCCAAGCAGGGAGCACAGTCCAGCATTGGACACACTCTGCTTGCAGAAGACCCTTTTGTAGAACTACAAACTTATCCTTTCTGTTACTCACTGTTTCTCATTTTCATTAAAATTATTCTGTTTAATAGTACCAGATGTCCAGTCTTCTCCTTTTGCTTGTGCCCATGTGCCACTGTAAAGGGATGAGCAGCACGTCCACTCTAACCAACCGTACAACAAAAGGGAGGTCTAGACTCTAGATGTTAGCGAGTTTCACCACATCTCCATCTGAAATGCTCCAGCCCAGACTCATTTCCCAGAGCAGGAAGAAGTTCTACTTCATTTTAACTAACCTGTGAGCCTGGGTTTACACAAATACTTCTCCAGGAAAGGGCAGCCCCTGACTGTCTGTGTTACCAAAACACTTCTGGAGCAGGCTGGGGTTTGTGCTTGAAAAATAACTTTCCAAAGCAAGAGGCTGAGTAGAAGTCTCATGGGCTGCCAAGGAAAGATAGCAATGACACTCAAGGTTAAAGACACCTAAGAGAAAAGACCACAGGCAACAAAGTCATGACCATCTGCTGGGGAGAACATCTCCTTTGCAAACTGAACAGCCAGGTTATTCAGGGAGTACCTGTCAGAGCCTCTACCATGTCACCTTAGGAGATTGAGTAGTCCTGATTTAGATTTAAAATACTAAAGATTATAATCTGGCACAGAACAAGGTGGTTCAACAAGCATAGCCCAGACAAAACTGCACGGATCCCATGCAAGCCCAGTTATACATCAAAGACATCACCAGGAGTCAAAAATCTGGTTGCAGAAGTGACTGTGAGGGGACATCTCTGGGATGATTTCCAAGAGATACCCTACACGACTACCCCTTCTTTTCTCGTGGTGGCCACCTGCACAAGCATTTCTGTATCCCTCAGCTGACAGAGCCAAGTGGAGGAAAGGGTAAAGAAAATAACTAGGGGAGCAGATTGGAGAAGCATTTCCATAGGCAGAAAATCAGTGACAGCAGAATAGTCCCCAAGATGTAAATGCTATTCCTCCAATCCATTTTTTCACATCCACGTCATGGCTTCCACTGAAACCATTTGACCTTGAACTGGACTATAGGAGATGAAGAGCCCCACAGATCCATTTCCTTGTCTGGGAAGGAGCACACACAGCCACGAGATGGGCTTGGTCTGCTGCCTCATTGCTCAGAGCTCACCTTGTCGTGTCCTAGTTTGAGCAAGACAGAGCCAGATCAGGATGCCCTAGAAAGAGGGTAAGGGCAGAAACCTCCACCCAAGCCTCCTCGCAGGGCACAGTCGGCAGCAAATCAGTACAACTCTTTGAACCTAGTAAAGCTATTAAGATGCCTTTTGTAATCCTTATGCTGGCTGCTGTCAGCAGCAATAAGGGCTGGGTCCCCCCAGGAAAAACATTGAGAAACAGTAGAGTTTCCCACCACAATAAATTCAGCTTATCTCCCTTGGACATCCTGTGGCACGCAAGGCTTCTCCCCACTGCATGTACAGTGCAGAAGGGTTCACACAGAGATAGATGCACAGGAAGAGAGACAAAACAAAACACAGAAAGCCAAAGATTTGGGTGAAATTCTCAGCCTGCCCAAGGTCCTTTGGCCCCAGTATCAGGTCCCTGTCTCTGTTTGCCAACGCAACAGTATTTATGATGTTTCTTCCCATCACCATATCCCACCCAGTTCATTACCAGAGGGACTATTCCTTCCGACTGTGGGTGCAATCACCACCTGATGCCTGGGGAACATCTCCCACAGGCTGTAATTGCCTTCCAGTCCTAGCCTTCCCAGACCTGTCACCTCCCTCCAGCATGCTGTCCCAGAGCCACCCGGGCACCACTTCCCTCCCCTGTTGCTCTGAAGATGCCACTGCTCTAGTTCCAGCTCCAGCTTTGTGTAGAGCACTGGGGGTGCCCCAATGGCCCTCACTGCTGCCTCCCAGATAAACCACCTCAGCCCTCCCTTTGTCTTTCCCCACTCCAGGGATCCTGGGCACACTGGGGACCTCCTGCCCTGATGCAGGTTCACCTTACAGAATGAGGATGATCAAGGGAATTACGAAAAAAGGCTGAGAGACCTGGGGCTGTTCAGCTGGAGAAGACTGAGAGGGGTTCTCATCGACGTTGAGCAGTAACTAAAGTGTGGGTGTCAAGAGGATGGCCAGGCTCTTCCCAGTGGTGCCCAGGGACAGGACAAGGATCAATGGGAACAAACTGGAACACAGGAAATTTCATCTGAACATAAGACTGAGAGGGGTTCTCATCGACGTTGAGCAGTAACTAAAGTGTGGGTGTCAAGAGGATGGCCAGGCTCTTCCCAGTGGTGCCCAGGGACAGGACAAGGATCAATGGGAACAAACTGGAACACAGGAAATTTCATCTGAACATGAAAATCTTCTTTCCTGTGAGGGTGGCAGAGCCCTGGAACAGGCTGCCCAGGGAGGGTTTAGAGTCTCCTTCTCTGGAGAGATTCCAAACTCACCTGGACACATTCCTGTCCAGCTTCCTCTGGGTAAGCCTGCTTTGGCAGCGGGTTGGACTGGATGATCTCCAGAGGTCCCTTCCAACCCCTACAATTTTATGAAACACTGGAGCCCAACCACCACAGAAGGAGGAAAAACAATTTCCCACCTCTGGTGTCCCTACCACAGAGCTCTCAGCCTTTAGTTATCCAACAGGGACTGGATCATTTTATCTCCTATTCTTTTTTGAATCACCCTGATGTTCTTGAAGTCCCAAGAGTCTGGAGTCCAGAATTATGGTCCATACCACTCCCTGGCCTCCCAAGCATCAGCCAATAGCACTGCTGTTCGTTTCCTATAGATCCATCTTAACATCTCAGGAAGCTCTGAGTTTCTCCTACACCTGTTCAGTGGTATGTGAAGAGCTTTTTTTCCTGTTTCATAGGGTTTTGCACCCTAAGGCTTAAGAAAAGTCGAATGATTAGAGGAACTTTGTGCCTGCCTATGAGATATTATCATAATAGATGACAGATGGCTAATTTAGCTAACAGAAAACTAACTCCTGTAATTTTATTTAAAGCTCTGGATGCCAGTCTGAAGCAGGATGTATTTACTGCATGCATGTGGGAAATTACCAATTTAAATGCACCTCGTGAACAGCCCACACATGAGGTACGCTGCAGGACATGCCTCCAGCACTAAGATTCACTGCAAGAGTGAGAATCGTTTTTAAAGAGTAAACTTATCCCAGCCTCTGACTATTGTTGACTGTTGCACAAACTGGATTAGAACACTTTTCAAAATATTTCTTAAAGAGTGCAATATCATAACAAAACCTTTTAAGAGAAGGAAAAGTGGACAAATAGGAAAAAGGACCTTACTGGAAGCAACAAGAGAAACAACCAGCAATTCAAAATCCACCATATTCAGATGAATATTCCTGTCCCATAGTGCAATAATGAACCCAAGAGACATTAACAATCCTTTTACTATTTTAAAAAGACATTGGTAGCTTCTTTGTAAGACACTTGATATCTTTAATCCTCTGAAAGCCTCAGAGCATTTCACATGAGCGGCTTTTATATCAAAATGAATATCCCATGAGTACCTTTTATATCGAAATGAAGAAAGGTGTTCTAAAGTTCCACAAAAATCCACTGGCAACATTTCCTAATTTTACCACAAAACACCAGGTGTCAGGAACAGCAAGTCTCAACTTATTATATGGGAAGTACAATTTGAGAGGCCTCAAGAAGAAACTTCGGTTCATTTCCAAAGACACCATTAGCATAACAATAAAGATTCCTTCCGCTGGCTTTTGAGGTTTGGGGGATTTCGTTTTTGTAGAGAAGGATTTCTGTGGTTGGTGAGGATCTCATTTAATCACCTTGTCTGAGGCTTGCCAACAGTAAATTACACACTATTACAATGCCTGGCCAACTATGTTTTCCTTACACATAAGGATAATAATTCTCCAAAGAGTGACTGCTATGAAATAATCCAGTATTCTCATGTCAGCTTGTGATACTGAATTATATTGTTTCTGTTACAGTGTATTAACATGCTACATAACCTTTCAAACACAGCAGCATGGGAAGCTTGTAAAATGTTTATTATCAATATATTCCTGAACAAAATCAAAATTCCATGGACGAACATCACCATCAATTTTCACATACATGGTTGTAAAACATCACGTGGAGCAGTAAGTCCAGAAAGTTAATTTTTACACTCAAAAAATACCTGCTCTTGATTAACACTTGGCTTCAGATTCACCTTAGTAACACCAACTCTCCATGTGTTGTCCCAAATTTGCATTCTTCACCCAGTGTGCAAAAACCAATCAACAGAGTCAATATACATGTTTTATTCCAGTTCTGCGCAGAAAAGGGCAATAGTTTGCAAAGCTAACACACCTTTTGAGAAGTTCTTAATACCAAATAACAATAAAGAAGAAACTACAGTAAAGAACTGGTCATTCTTCACTCCTAACTTTACCTACAGAAGCAGAAATTTATTATTCTCTTATCTCTTGGTTCCTGCTGTCCTTGAGATCATTTTGGCATCATCAAGGGCCACCCTGGGGCCATGTCTTCTTCTACCCACATTCACCTACTACACAAACCCACCTGGTCACAAAAGCTGGGATTTTTGTGACTGTTTACCCTTTTCTTTCAATAACAAACACACCTCTGCTCTGATGCATTGTGTCATTGTCTGGGTGGGGAGGTCAGGGAGGTCAGTGACACACCGTGTGCCAGAAAAAGCCAATATTGGAGAAAATGCTCCACAGAGCTGAGACCAGGAACAATGAAAGCCAAAATGTGGGCAGCAGTTTGATGAAGGGAACAGCTACAGCATAGATTTCGCTGCAGAAAGGAGATGTACACACAACCCACAACCAAATCTCTCAAGAAGATCATTGTCCTGAAGCAGAGCGATAAGATCATCTCGGTGCAGTGGGACAAAGGTACCTGAATTAGGAGGAGCGGAGGGGAACAGACGTGTGCACACACACTTAGAGGCCAATAACATGTTGCAATGTCATGTTTAATGCGAAAGAAGCAGATCATACAGAGGCGGGATTATATACTACAGATTACAAATTGCCAACAACCCTGTGGTTTGATGCAAGATGATTCATGTAATAACTGATGTTGCTTCCCTGTTGCAGCTCTGAGTCGATGCTCAGCCCTGGTCACAGCAAGATGTACAGAGCACAGGAACAGGAGCACAGGCTGGTTGACTCCAGGGTCCTTTTTTAATGCATCAGTAGCCACAGGAAGAGCCTACAAAGGGATCTAAAATGGATATCATACCAGATCCCTTCACATTGCCACAGTGATAGATAGCCACAACCCCCCAAGGAATTAGCAATACAGTCCATAGCATCAAGATAGGAGCACTTAGACATTAGAAAAAGAAAATCAGAAAGAGAAATGATGTAAATAAATTTTTCAGAAGATCTGAGCATCTACAGGTGCATTTAAGGGCAGCCCCAGATGCTCAGCCCTTCCTAAACGCTATGTCCCACAGTTCAGCCACGTATCTACATCCTGCTTGTCATCTCCTGGACATTCCTTTGTCAGCAGCAGCTCTCATTAGGTTTAGCATGGTCTGCAGCTTCCAACTGGGTACCCCCTTCTCCATCTGGCCCCACCATAGATGCTTGAGCCCCCAGGAGCACTGGCAGCACCAGAGCCGGTTCCAACTTGAGGGGCTCCTGCAGATCCCACGACGCTCTGCTGGGGGAAGGTGCTGAGGATGGGGCCAGGGAAGGTCACAACCACTGGTGGAGGGTAGATGACCACCGTGGAGTCGGGACACTGCTGAACACAAGGCTCGTTGCAGCTGTCAGCGATGGGCTGTGGCACTGCCACCCCGCACGGGGAGGGGCTGCCCTCAGTGCATGGGCTTAGAGAGTGCAGCATTTTTCAGGGATTGTTGATCTGAAGTGCAAGGAAATAACATAAAAATCAGGCATAAATTTTTCCAAGTTTCACAGTCAAACATTAAAATAGAAGGGTGGAGGGAAAGGTAGAATTTTCATAGCTCAGTTCTTAGAAGATACCTATAAATCTCATATTGAACACAGTAACATCTGGAAATGAGTTTTCCTAAGAAATTGGAGTTCATCATCCAGATCTGCTTTTACCAAAGCCAACAGCTGAACAGCCACAAATGTATTAGTTTACATCCAGAAAACTTCAGATTGATATCAGACTATTCGCACGTGAGTCACCCTGACTTAAAACTACAAACAAAGGCTTCGTTAGAAAGAGGAATTCAGATGGAACTTACCTACTTCACAAGAGAAGTAAGACAAGACAAATGGTTCTATGAGATGTGTTGTTGAGCCCTTTTATACTCGCCCTTGGACTGCCCACAACATGAATCACTGATGTGTATAACACCTTAATCGATTACTAAACACTTTTCTTTCAAGACTTAACTTTGTTAATGAGTGTCAATTGCTTTAAATAAATCACTCTTGGTAATTATTAGCTTGTCCTTCTGCTCCCTATGACCTGTACTTTACTGCCTTCCAGTCTCTGCTATTTCAAAACTTTATATAGAGGGGATACTCTGCCTCAGCATGTTGGAGAAAGACAAAAATGTTTATATGGTTCATCTTGATGTCCTCCATGAATAGACTTGCTCCTGGACAGGTGGTAAACAGCCATTTTCTTGGAAGAAAATGTATTTGACTCAACCCAGGAAAAGTTGCAAAAGTGAGGGATAACTTGTGTTCTTGGCCTAAGGGTAGCCAAGTTCATGGTTTTGCAGTGAAATTAGATTAAGAGTCTGTTCAAAGCTCTGGCACACTGCAGAAATCCTGAATTTTATAGAGTTGTATATCCAAATAAGCCAGTGCAGCTCTTCCAATTAGACACCAAGCACGCATTTCTTTAAACATACAAGCTTTAACAATAAAAAAAAAGGAAAAAAGGCTAAGGCCATGTTTTATATGAAATTAAATATCCCATACAGTGAGGCTATAAATCATGACCTGGTTTGGGTAATGCCAAAAAGGCAATAAATAGGGTGGGGCTTAGGCAAGACCTTGTCAGGCATTTTTTCCAGCGAGTCGTTTCTTCAGTAAATGGACACCTCAAGCTACTATAATAACGCATGTCGCACATGTAGAAAGACAAAAGGAAGATGTATTTTGGAAGCCAAATCACTGATGAATTGCAACTGCCAGTGCAGGGTTATCATCCATGGTAAAGAGCAGCATGAGGTGGTGGCTTTCTGACGCTCAGCAGTAGTCAGCAAGTGATGCCAAGGGTGACAATGGCATGTGCCACGCAGACACTCCCACCAGGCCACGCAGGGTAGAAACTTGTCTATTCCTCTTTATACTTCACTTAAAAAAAAAAAGAAAAAAAATCCATGGTAAAGAGCAGCATGAGGTGGTGGCTTTCTGACGCTCAGCAGTAGAGTCAGCAAGTGATGCCAAGGGTGACAACGGCGTGTGCCACGCAGACACTCCCACCAGGCCACGCAGGGTAGAAACTTGTCTATTCCTCTTTATACTTCACTTAAAAAAAAAAAGAAAAAAAAAAGATATTTACTACTTCTGTAGTAATAGAGAGGACTTGTTTGGACTATCTGTTACAGCAAGCATCACCTCAAAGCCTTCTCCCTCTCTCCCAGCAGCAGCACGTATTTGCAAGGAAAAGGCTTCCTTTGGTGGAGTTAGAGGTTGATGTGTTAACACTGCAGAATAAAGTTTACCCCTTCCAAGGGATCTCAGGATAAAAATCTTATGTATAATCAGATTGGCCGCAAAATTACTTTGAAGGGCAGGACTAGACCTCAATGCATTATGTGCTACTGTGGAGTAAAAGTCTCAATCAAGATTTCCACAGCAATAGAAAACAGTTGGAATGCTTTCCTGCTTTAATTGCATACTGACATTTATCTTCATAGTGTCATAATGTTTGAGGATGACGTAAGAGATTTGCAATTCCTTCAGAAAATTGGCTTGTGCCTTTTCTATAATTGCAGATAACCGTGTGAATTGCAACATATGCCTTTATCACAGCTTAGGCTGGGTAGTAATTTATGCCTACAGTAATTCCTCAAAAACATTGGCATTAAATATCTAATTATTATTTTCAAGTTAATCAACTGAAGATGCAACTAAACGTTAAGTCTTATTTCAAAAATATGTTCATAATCCTGTCTTGAAAAGTCAAGACCTTCCATCCAATGTGACAGGAGCCCACAGTGACAGGGCTTCTTTTCTTCTCTGTTGCAGCCTATTTGGGGTTAATGTCATTGCAGGGTCCCTTCATCTGAACATAAAGGTTAACAACACCTACAGAAGGCACGCCAGTGCTTTCTAAAATCATTGTCAAAGCACATCGTAAAAGCTAATTTGTGTTCTACACAACTGATGCTGTCATAATTTTTTTTTTTTTTTTAACAAGGGTATTACAACTGCCAGCTCAAGCGCTGCTAGAGAAGACAAGGAAATAAAAGTGATGAGTCAACCAGGGAACCACAGCCAGAACTTGGTACCTAACAAGTGTGTCCACAAGTAATGCAACAAAACAGGGTACGTCAGTTCAATTTACCAATTAAATCAAGCTTAAGAATCAAATTTCAGCACCTTAAACATGAAAGATACTAAACACGATGATCATCACCTTTGTATCCACCAGGAGACAGGATGAACACTTGAGCTGCAGACAAGCCACCAACACCTTCAAGCACTCAAAATGCTGTCAGGACATGTTTATTCTGCATTTAACTCAAATGTGAAGATTCTTCAAAATATTTTAATTCTCTTCTGTCTGTAAGGATATGTGCATATGTATATGCAGGAAAAAATGTATAAAACCTTAAAAAATCAAGCCAGAGCTCAACACAAGAGTAGGGAGCTCTCTGAAGATGTCCATTTGATTATACTGTTTCAGAAGAATCAAATCCATCCCCGAGACCAGTGAAACATCCCAGCAAATAGATTTATGAAGGTTAAAACTCAAAAAACCCTGTGTGGTTTGGTGTGCACACCACAGCAGGTGAGGCAAGAACCTTACAAATAATTACATCAATTATCTGGTGGCTTTGGCTAATAAGGACTTGGTGCCCAAAAAGGTGTCCCTCTCCACAGGCTGACGAGGAAAGTGTATAAAAGTAATTTGAGGCTCAGAGAGGAAATACCCATTTTTTCCACTGCCATGGGTTATTACCCAGCAGTTGAGGGTCTTCATGCTGTGTTATGAGATCTGCAATGGGAAGGTGAAGAGCAATGACCTGCTGCACATCTGTACTGCAACAAGGTAAATGCAGAGATGGAATTGCTCCCACCACTGAGAATTACCTCTAAGATAACCTTAGCCAATCAGGCACTGCTTTATCTGCATGCCTACTGGGAAAAATATTTTCCCCTGAAGACGACAACATTGGCTACTGCTTCACATCCAATATCAACATGTAGGACTAGCCTTGCTGCCTGTACCTAACATTTTGTCCCAAAACAAGGGGTTGGTTGCAACACAAGTTACCTAACATTTTGTCCCAAAACAAGGGGTTGCGACACAAGTCAGCGTTCAGGGTTATAACTATACTCCCTTTTCTAATATACATGCCTGTATTATATTTACTAGGCATGTAAAATGAGGGAGGTCAACCACTAAAATCAGCTGGCCTCTTTCTAAAGAGTGTTCTGAGCTGGGGGGAAAAGCGACAAGAACATTGAACTTTATTGAACCATTGAACTTCGTGGCATGACCCATCTCGGAGCCAATTCTCACCCCACACCTCAGCTTTGCTCTACTGATAAATTGAGCCAGTCCTTCCAGGTACCATGCTTCTGCAGACCTGTGTTTATCCACACGTAAAACAAGAAGAGTACTGACAGAGGCTATTAAATGGCATCCTTGTAACAAGACCTCTTAAAACTCCTTACAAATGCTCATTAATATTTCACATGAGCAACACTCTTGAAGCTGGACTCCCTTATAATGAATGCCAGCACATCCCCAATTTAAAGGATGTGTCTCAAGATGTCAAAGGCTACTAATTACATCACGTGTAGGGAGCAGTTTACATCCTGATGGACAAGCACAAGGCACATGGACAGGTGGCATCTCCACGGGCACAGCTGAGGTCTAGGTGCAAACCAGCAGTTGTTGGGATGGTCCCAGAGTGAGATAATGGAGGTCATTAAAAAAAACACTCCCCCTTTTACGTGTAGGGAGCAGTTTACATCCTGATGGACAAGCACAAGGCACATGGACAGGTGGCATCTCCACGGGCACAGCTGAGGTCTAGGTGCAAACCAGCAGTTGTTGGGATGGTCCCAGAGTAAGATAATGGAGGTCATGGCTGTCACTGAGATGCCATAATCTAGTCCAGACTGATAATTCCTTGTTTTTCACCCAAGGAATCCAGCCAGATGTCACAAACACAATTAACTAATTAAGTCTGATCAAATCAGGGTGCCCATAGGACCACAGCCACCTGTATTAAGCACTGTCCCCATAACCAGCTTCTAAATCCTTGGCAAAGCCATGATTCCTTGCAAATTCAGCTGTGCCAGTCTCCAAGAAGATTTCCATTTGTCCCAGGAGATGCCCTGGACACAACCCTGATTTTAACACCCCACCAAAAAGTGATATGGCCTTGACTACACATCTTCCCCCAACCTTGTTCCCAGCCACAAAAAACCAAAAAAACCCACAAAAAAACCCCCAACCAAATCCAAAGCCTAATAAAATCAGGGAATGACTCTCATTAAGTTTGAAGAGCACTAGATCAGCCATACAATGAGTCACCACCTTTGGGTACATCTCTCCCAGCCTTGCAAACCCAGATTCCTAGCTGAATTTAAATGACAAAAGGGGAAAAATGAGCAAGGATTATCATTGCCCACTCCTCCCTGACGCTTCCTCACTGTCCATCTGCTAAAAGAAGCTTTAAGAGGAGAGGATAGATTTATTTACGTCACTAATTAGGTCAATGGAATAAAAAGTGGCTTTTGCTCTTCCCATAAGGATTTAAAATGGAAACTCAGAGGGCGTGAGGAACATTTCGTGGCGTTTGGGGATAACAATATACTAATAGTCACAAGGGAGTAAAATAAGTACAGCCAATGAAGAGTTGCATATGAACTAATCCTCTCCTGTATTAACTGGGATTTGATACACAGTGGCTCAGATTTTCCACGCAGTCTAAAAGACCATATAAAACCACACTTTTCCAAGCATTCAATCCATTTCTTACCCTCTGCTGGGAGCTCGGTAAGTTATTTGCCTATTTCTAACTAGCAAAATAAGCTTTTGTTGGTGCTTTGAACTTGAATCTAGATCCTGCAGAAATTATCTGACACTGCGAATTAAGGGTGGCGTTTGAAGAGCACTAGATCAGCCATACAATGAGTCACCACCTTTGGGTACATCTCTCCCAGCCTTGCAAACCCAGATTCCTAGCTGAATTTAAATGACAAAAGGGGAAAAATGAGCAAGGATTATCATTGCCCACTCCTCCCTGACGCTTCCTCACTGTCCATCTGCTAAAAGAAGCTTTAAGAGGAGAGGATAGATTTATTTACGTCACTAATTAGGTCAATGGAATAAAAAGTGGCTTTTGGTCTTCCCATAAGGATTTAAAATGGAAACTCAGAGGGCGTGAGGAGCATTTCGTGGCGTTTGGGGATAACAATATACTAATAGTCACAAGGGAGTAAAATAAGTACAGCCAATGAAGAGTTGCATATGAACTAATCCTCTCCTGTATTAACTGGGATTTGATACACAGTGGCTCAGATTTTCCACGCAGTCTAAAAGACCATATAAAACCACACTTTTCCAAGCATTCAATCCATTTCTTACCCTCTGCTGGGAGCTCGGTAAGTTATTTGCCTATTTCTAACTAGCAAAATAAGCTTTTGTTGGTGCTTTGAACTTGAATTTAGATCCTGCAGAAATTCTCTGACACTGCAAATTAAGGGTGGTGTTTCTTTTAAAGGATCTTTCTTGGGTATTATGTTTTTTCAGACATGCAGAAACAGATACAGGCTTTTAAACGTGAGTCGAGATTTAGAGATTTACAGAACCTCATCCAGTTTAGAGTGCGATATTTCCACTTTGATTTGGCCATTTACATACCCTTATCTTTAATTTGCTTTGAAAAAAGGTGAATTCTAGATTTCTCCTATATTAGTGGCCGCTTATTTTCGTAGTTCAAGTAACTATCTCTATTGGCAGCTGACCTTTACCATCCTAATTCGACTGAGGTAGATTTCTTCTGTAATACAGAAGCCAATTTTAATCTGGATTAACTGAAGGAAAGTTTGATTTCTGTGTATTTGAGACTTTTATACAAACCTGGGGGAGTTCTTGATCAGATCTGATATTACCTTCCCGCTTTCAAAACATGGCAAGAAAACCCTGATCCAGTCCTGCCTGGTGTTTCTCCTGTGTCTGCACTTAATTGTCAGCTGAAATCTTTGTAGACCAACATGATTTGTTTACAGTAGCTGGGACCTGACCCTTGAGAGCTTGTTCTTAGAGTAGCCCAGCACATCTGCAAGAGCAACTGCCACCAAATTGCAAAGTACAGACGCCCAAGTGCCATTTGCTGATGCTGAGCAAAGCTGATTTGCAGCCAGATTTTAAATTTTAATTAGGAAATCCAAGGTCTCAGCACTCCTCTGTGCTCAATCACATCTTTGGAATGGACACCCCATGTTATGGCAGAGGCAGTGCTGACACCCCACAGCTCAGCAGTGCCTCTTCACAGCAGCTGGGACAGATCCTGCACCTTCCTGCCTTCAAGGAGCATCATTTCCATGCCAGGAGTGAGCCATCCCTGGCTCCACAGGGTGCTCCACGAGCTAATTCTGGGGTCCAGATGTGAGCAGACACCTCCTGGGATTCTCACAACCCTTCAGTCCCCAGTTTCTCCTGGAGCAAACTCAGGATAGAAAGAGCAAGAGACAGCAGAGCAGCCAGTAAAGCAAATACACACATGCATCCTGAGATGCAGAGTGTTACATTTGACTTTTTCTACTCAATATGGGACACTGAGCCAGACTTTCAAAACTCCCTCTGTCCCTAATGAGCATCAGGCTTTTAAAAATAGAGCCCTGCTACATCACCCTGCCAATTACAAAGATAGCAATCCTCTGTTCTGCAATTCAAATTAGCATAAAGAAAGGCAATACTTTCTTTTGCTTTACCTAGTGCCAGCGAAAAGTAATTCCGGTTTCAACTGAAGCGTCTGGAAAGCAAATAAATGATAGCCCTTGTCACAAAAAGATGAGAACCTCAGCACTAATCCCAGATATGGCATTGCCTCACTCGCTGAAGCACGCAGGTCACTTCCCAGCTACGCCTGGAACTCCCCTCTTCTTCCTCGGGCTAATAGGTACCTGCCTCACATGGCATCGGAGGCTCTCAAAGAGCTCATTAGTTAAGTGCAATGCTGCACAATTTCTGCAAGGGAGAGGAGGGCTGCGAGTCAGAGCAACAAGCTCCAGCAGCAGAAAGGCAACTCGTCCCATCCAAGCGGTGATCTACAGGGAATTCACTCATCTTTCCTCCCCGTCTTGTTTTTTTAGGTTCATCTCCACCCCAGAGCAATGGCTTATTACGGATACCAGTACAAGCAGCAGTGCTATATCCCAAGTGGGGTGAAGCACAACACACCCGTCTTCACGCAGTGCCACAGCCCCAGTGCAGTGAAGTGCACGTCGTGCACACCGTGTGACCCCAAAGGTGCCAAGCTGTGCACCGTGAGGAAGACCATGCAGACCAGCCCCAAGTGCTCCGTGCCATGTCCATCAGGGTGTGTTGAGACACACCTTGTGGAAGGCCCATCTTCCTCCTGTTGTCCCATGTCTCCTGATCCATGCGCCATGGCGTTTCCTCAGCCCCAGCTGCAGGGCATGGAACATCTCTGCATCCCACACTGTGGACAGTCAGGCCTTATGAGATTCCCTCAGATCTGTGCTCCAGCTCAGGTGTCCCAAAACAGCTCATATCCTTATTCATACCAGTGGTCCAAAAGCTACCAGTACAACTGTGGGCCACAATAAGCTCCATGGAGGTGCCCACAGAACAACCAGGTAACGACGAGCAAGATGAAAGCCCACAGTGAAGTTCACAGGAAACGCAACTCTTTTCCTGCTGCAATCACCGGGGCTTGTGGACAACTCGTACCTCTTCAAACCAGCCCTTATTTAATCCTCTCCATGTTATATTCTGCTTTAGATTTAGAGGTCTCACAGCTTCATTCCTACAGTCTCCTGTCACCTATAGCAGGCATCGGATCTCAACTGCATGAGGACAGTTTTTCCATGACTTCCAGTGTAAAGGATATGTGAGTTGTACCGTTGGCATTATCACTCACATGGATGACATTGCATCAGAGTGGCCTCAGCTAGACCAGTGCCAACAAAAACTAGATCCTTCCATGCTATACCACTACATTATCACTCACATGGATGACATTGCATCAAAGTGGCCTCAGCTAGACCAGTGCCAAGAAAAACTAGATCCTTCCATGATATACCACTAAAAATACACATTCCTTTCTGCTTTCAACTTCGTTCCAGAGGAGATTTTGTGAAGAAACCAGTTTTAAATTCTATGCTTTGTTCTATATGCAACCAACAGAAACAAGACAAGTAAATGTAAAATGATGGAAAACAGGACTTGACTTTCAAGTCAAGGGGTCCACTGTGTGAAGCAACTCACTCTGGAAGCTCTCACTACTTAAATATCCACCTCTGATGTACCAGCTGGAAGCCAGAGTGTACTTGACTCACTCTGGAAGCTCTCACTACTTAAATACCAGCTGGAAGCCAGAGTGTACTTACAATATAGTCTGCATTATTTTATTTGGTATATAACCAACATCTCACATAATAAAGCTTCTACTGTATCAAACTACTCACTTTCTATTTTGTTTTAGTTTTTTTTTTTTCCCCCTCCATCCCTATTCACACTTGACTTGGAGCTAAAAATCCCCACTTGTGCAGCAGCCATGTTAAAATAAGCAATGGTTCCTCCTGGGCTGGTAACAAATACTCAGCTCCCCACAGTGGATCTCAAAACAACTTGCAGAAGAGCTGAGCCAGCTGTAAATGTGACTAACACAGTGAATCAACGAGCTGCCAGAAAGAACTGACATTCTCAGGGCAGAGCTCTAACCCCTAGACCACACTGCTGCGTGTGGTAGGACATTAAGCTATTCCCAATTTGAGGTGTTGTGACCCCATTTACCAATAAATCCCAATTAAATTTACCCCAAATCATGCCCATTTGTAGGCTAGACACCAGCAATCCCTTGTGCTCCCTCATGTGGCCAATGGATTCGGGGAGCATGAGGGAGCCCCAGCAAGATGAACCCCAGATAAACTCAGCACAGCAGCCAAGGGCTCAACACAAAATTCCCAGGCTAGAAAGGACCCCCAGTGCCACAAACACCCAGCTATTCAGAGTAACACAGACCAAGGCTTAGCAGAAATTGGTAAAGTCACAGTGATTTTTTTCTTTTCTATCAACCATGAAATGCATTGAAATTGATGCTCCCAAATATGTCACCGGTGACAAGGTTAGACAGGTTACAGGACTCCAAATTCAGTTTCATTTGCAGAGCAAGGCACTATTTAAAAGAACAAAAGGTTTGAAGCTAAAAAAAAAAAAAAAGGAAAGAATACTGCTTTGGAGCCAAAAAAAAAAAAAAAAAA